AGGACCCCCCAAGGGCCCTTTAATAGAGCCCTTGGGACCCTTAATAGTGGGTATTTGGGGTATATTAGAGGGTAGTTCGGGTGGTTTAGGCCAGCCCAAAATCCTGAAATTTGTCTGAAGCCCAAGGAGTTCCCTAAACCCGAAACCCTAAACCCCCAAACCCCTAAACCCCTAAACCCCCAAACCGCTAACCCCCTAAACCCCTAAACCCCTGAACCCCCAGAGCCCTAAGCCCCCGAACCCCCAAACCCCTAAAGCCCTAAACCGCTAAAGGAAGGGATCAAGGCCTTAGGTCTGACCCCAAATAATCGGTGCCGAATTATATTGAGGACCCCAAAAGGGACCCTAATTTTGACAACCACCCATATAAACATAGTCCAACACACCCCAGTTTGTGCAGTAGGCGCGTTCGTACTCGGACCCATGGCCTCATGAAAGAAAGAAAGACGACACCCCAAACCCTGAACCCCCTAAACCCCGAACCCGAGTTTCCGGCCTCTCGAGGTGGGTATACCCATAGGCACCATAGGGTGGATGATATAAACCCCTAGGGTTCCTTTAAAGGGATCTATAAGGGGCTCCTTTAAGGGATCTATAGGGTTTTAGGGTTTAGGGTCTAGGTTGATGATATAAATCCTGCATTACCTTAAGGACCCTGAACTATGGGAATTATGGCATATTCCTTATTATTGGTAATGCAGGACTTATATCATCCACCGTGGTACATCCTTTTGGGGGTTCATATTATTAAGGCTCCTATACGGTAATCCCAAAAAGAACTACCATGGAGCCTCTGGGTAGATCCTGTTTCCGGGAGCCTGGTACCAGCTTCGCGTTTAGGAAATCGGCCCCCTTGGCGACACTCATGCAGACTTTCTTAAAGGATCATGGGACTTAGTTTAAGGTTATTATCAGGGTAACTATACGTATAGCTACCTATAACCCCAATTAAGGTACTTGTAACCTTGCCTACTAAGTCCCATGATCCCCATTATAGAACCCCTATAGATCCCTTTCAGGAACCCCACTCTAGAACGCTATAGTACCCTGATTAGAAGGAACCCTAAACCTTACTTACTAAGTCCCATGCTCCTCCAAGTTGTCGGCTTCAGAAGGGCTTGGGGGTTTTGGATTTGAGCGTTTAGCTTCACCCTACCCTAACCCTAAACCCCAAACCCTAAACCCTGCACTGGCCACCTGAACTTTAGACCCAGTTAAGGTCACAAGCCAAGCCGATCACTGCCCTAAGCCGCAGCTATCCCAGCTAGCTGACACTTGGGGATACTTCTTACTTCCCGCATCGCGTATTGAGGTATCAATTGAACGTCAAGGGGCCCCCAAACTCACCAATCGTAAATGGCCCTCAACCCTATACACTCGCGCTGCCAACTTGAGGCTCTTGGCTGCAGGGGGTGCTTACCCTTCTCTTCGGGAGTTCCTTCTCACAGTATCTGCCAGGAGGACCTCGGCACAAAGTTAGCGATCGAGTTTGACCCTAAACCCTAAACCCTAAACCGCAATTTAAGGGCTTTCATGGCTTCAGGGCCTAAACTGACAGGTTTGGGGCTGAAGCTAAGACCTTATTTGGGTTTATAAGTAGATGTAACTTTAGTTACCCTAATAGTAGCCTTACCTACTAAGTCCCATGATCCTCCAAGTAGCTATTTTTCGCATTGGGGTTTAGAGTTTTCCTGTTTTTGAAGATATCGGGACCCTGGGCTTCAGCGCTTTGCGAAGGTTTTGGCGCTGGGTTTAGGGTTTAGGATTAGTAATTAGTCAGGGTTTACAGTAGGGTTCAAGGTTCACTTTTTAGGATTAGTAATTGGGTTTACAGTAGGGTTCAAGGTTCAGAGTTCAGGGTTCATGATTAGTAAATATTAGTAAGTAGGGTTCAGGGTTCAAGAATTCAGGGTTTAGCGTTTAGGGCTTTTTGGCTCCCTGGTAAGCTTGCAGTGTCATCATCATGACCGTGCTTTGTCAGTGGTCGTATCGGCCCTGTTTCATCATCTTCATTGTTGCAGCGCCGGCACATGCTACTAGTGTTTCACTTTTGTATACATGGAAGTTCATGTACACTTTATGACAGTACACACATGTACGACCTGTATGTGGGGACACACAGGCGCAAACAGACAAAACAAGAGAACCCCGCCCCTGAAGCCCCTATAGACGCCATGCAGAACCCTTGTCGGGTTTAGGAGGTTTAGGATAAACCCCTATTCCCTGGAGGAGTGGACACGGCCTTCGTGAAGCAACTTCGATTAGGCTTCCTCGCACGAGTTTTGGTGCGCCTGGAGAGGCACCGCGACCCAGCAGGTCTCCGAGTCGTTTTTAAGTTTGCGAACTCCGATTCGGAGCATCTTTCGACCATCTTCAACTTACCCTTTGAGGAGGTTGATTCCTGGTGGACCAACGTCCTCCAGGCAGCAACGGCTCCTAATCTTTCGTGATGCGGGTCATTTTAAGAGTTTTTTCGAGGCAATCCCGGCGAATTCAGGCCAGGCTGACTTCAGGAAGGAGGATCCCCCTGACCGACTTTGTGCTGTCACGAGCTCTATGGCCCTTACACATTGCAAACACTCATCACTAGGCCCAGGCTTGGGCGGGGATATTGGTAGGGCTGCACCACCTAAAGCCCGCCCAAATTGTAGATACTGTAGGGGGCAAGTAAATTCCCTCAAAGTTCCTAGTGAATCAAAAGTATAAGCTGCCCAAAGCCCTATTCGCAAAATCAAGGTTCCGACATTATACTGTTCAACCCCCATAACATGACCTATAAGGGTCAATGTACCCAAACAGTGTACGCCTTGGCCCCAATGTACCTGTGTAGGGACTGTACTGTTTGCGTACAAGGACCCTTAAACCGTAATCCCTACAGAGCCCTTACAAAACCCTTTATGGTAACCCTTAAAGCAACGCTATTATGGAACCCTTCTAGCAACTCTTATAGTATCGGTCACACTGACAGGAACCTTATTAAAGGGTACATCCCCAGACCCCCCGGGAGGATCTTAAAAGGCAGATCCCCCAATTTGGGACCCTAGCTACTGAAGGGTACTTTATAGGAACCCCCTTACATAAGGGATCTACTTGTTGGATCCTCCCGGGGGTCTGGGTCATGGACCCTTAAGATAACATGAGTCCGAAGACACAGAGCCGAAGTCCCAGAAGGAAGAAGTATGTCCCTAAACTTGAGGCTAAAGGGCCCCTTTAAGGGATCTATAGGGGTGCTATCAGGGCTTGGGGTTTAGGGTCTACTTGGAGGATCATGGGACTGGTAAGTATGGTGATCGGTACCTTCATAGCATTTTAAGTAGTTATATGTATATAGTTACCCAATCATAACCTTACCTATAGTCTCCATTGTAGTTCCTGTTTTTGGTTAACCAAAATCTCTATTATAGGTTCCTAACCATAAAACTGGTTAACCAAAACAAGGAACTACAATGGAGACTATAGGTAAGTCCCGGATCCTTGAAGTTTTCCATACTCCCAAACCATAGAGCCCTAAAGCCCTCAAGCCACAAACCCTAAAGCACTCAATCGCAAAACTCTAAACCCTAACCCCAAACCCCTAAACTATTGCAAACCCAAAAGTTTGTCAGGGGCTCAGATGCGAGAAGCATCGCGCAACACTTTAGAGGAGCCTGGTCTTATCGACTGTGCCCCAAGCTGCTGAAGCCTGATGCTCCAGCCGTTCTTTCCCTGAGAACCCTAACATTACACCCGTTATGCACTCTAAAAAACTAAGCAAAATCGAACCTTATACTCACTAGTTATACTCTAGCAACAAAAAGATTTGGTTCATCGGCGCATCACTATTCTTAGTGCTTGCATCACTAGAGAAAGGGCCTCGCAATGCTAAAGGACCTTTTCGAGGACACAGCGTGCGCCAATCGAAAAGAGACACTTCGGCGAACTGTCGTTTGTATACCTCGCCCCTGCCCGCACTTCCTTTGTGTGTCCTGCTGTGTTCAGTCAGACGGCTTTGCATGATCTTGATAGCAGACATCAAATCGTCGTGGAGGTTTGCAGAGGTGAGGGATGGTGGCGACGCGGATCTTTGAGAGTCTAGGAGTGTAGGGTTGATGGATTAGGGTTTCGGGCTTAGTGCCCACTGCAATAAGGCTACCGGCTTTCCGCGAGCCTGATACCCTAAGCCCTTTTTTCAGCACGGACTGAGGTGCCGGCCCTAAGCCCTTAAACCCTAAACACAAGACCTACACTTAACCCTCCAATTTGAGCTAGGAAGCCGATCGGAATCCTTCCTACCCCAAGGCCCCAAAGTAGTTCCTTTTTTTGGGTTCATATATAGAACCCTATAAGGTAATCCCCAAAAGGAACTACTTTGGGGCCTCTGTGTAGATCCAATACATAAATCCCACCTAAACCCTGCGCAAACCGGCGTAAACCCAGGCCTCCCCCACGCACTTTCATGCGAAGTTCCCTTACGCTAGGGTTTGGTGTCTCGTGTTGTAGGTTTGGGGTTATTAGGTTTTGATATACAGTAAACCCCAAAAAGTTGGAAACCGGATTAAGGCCAAATAGTGCTGGGGTTTCCAACTTTTGGGCTTTTACTGTAAGGTTTGATTTTACAAGATCTAGGGTGTGGGGTTTAGTATTATGAATTGCAGGGCAAAGGTTTTTGTGTTCAGCCTGAACAAGAGCAAGCCCAGAGACTCCAGTATACCTGAGTTATAGGCAATATACCACAATTTATAGTAGGAAGCCTAATATGAGTTCAGGAGTATTCCTAAATTAACGGATATTGGAGTCTCTGGGAGAGGGGTAGTCGTGTTAGCAATTGCGGCCGAAAGCCTGTCTCTTAACCCAGAATCGAATCCCAAGCTTTGATTAGGCCCTCCCCCCTGACACCCCTAATAAACCATAAGCAAGCCGCAATCTCCAAAACCCCAGGGCCCTAAACCCGCAGCACTACAAAATACTTCTAAAGCCCCGGAAGCCTTTTCGAAACACTAAATCCGAAAAGTGTTTCCAAGGCCTCGGCGGGCCGGGCCAGTGGTGACGCCGCTGCCCCGCCGTAGTCCACGCGTAGTATGAGGGTTTACAGTAAGTAGTATGGTTTCCTTGTTATGCGAGCTTGGTGGCTTAATTCAATTCCTGGAAAGGAACCCGGATGTTCTTGTGTATCTGCAGCGACCCCTGAATCCCGAACCATGAAACCCTAAACCCCAGAACCTTAAACCCATGAAGCCTCGAATGCTTGAAAAATAATAGAGTTTTGACGTTGTTTCAGGACTGTGGGTCAAATGTCTCGAGACTTTTAGCTGAGGAGTCCTCGCGTTCGTTTCTGAAAACTTTTCAGGTAGCACGACGGAGCGCCGCTGGGACTTTCCCATCGAATGTGCATCGATATGCAGATGTGTACACTTGAAATCTTACACTGTACCTACAGATATTCTGAGTCGTATGTGTATGTTCACACCTGTAGTGAATTGGCTGTCTCTGTCTGTATGTTTGTGTGATGGACGTACGCATTTGCTGTGTATCCTTCGTCGCTGCCCTTATCTTGAGATTAGCTTACGGATCAGGGTGCTTGGCCGGCAAATGGTCTCTGGTTTTGTGTATAGCTGGATAGCAGCCAGACACCCCAAACCCTGTTCCAATGATCATATAAGGCCCAAGGATCCTGTCTATATCTATCCATCTATCTATCCCATATAATTACCTTAAGTCTCGCTGCATAGCCTTCATGGCGCACATGCCCAGACAGTGCGTACTTTGAAATGGGCGCCAGATTCTATGGTGTTCAAGTTCATAGACCCGAGGGGCCAGGTAAACTTCCTGGTTCATACCCCCCTCTTCCCCTGACTATGGTTTCGAACGGTTTAGAGTGTAGGTTTTCTGTGTAACTGGATCTTTTCTGGTGAAGTGGTCTTGCTCTCATCGCGGGCCTTTTATGGAGGATGAGCTGAGATGAGCCGCATGGAGCATTTGGAAAGTCCATATGCATTTGGCGCAGTTAATGCCTGGCATCCGAGCCTCGTCACATGTCAGGGAAGAGCCCAAGTGCACAAGTTTCTGCTTTACCTACAGTCTCCATTGTAGTTCCTTTTTCTGGTTAACCAAAATCTCTATTTTTGGATCCTAACCATAAAACTGGTCAACCAAAAAAAGGAACGACAATGGAGACTATAGGTAGGGTTTAGGTGTTCAGGGTTTAGGGCCTAAGGGGTTTGAGCATGGTTGTAATAATATGGGGGCTTTAATAGATACCTGTACTATTTTGTGGGTTCCTTATTATAACTATAGTATCATGGGCCCCAAAACCCTATTCTAATTATTAAGGCCCCCATAGTAAAGGGTTTGAGCATGGTTATAACTGCAATCCCTCGGTTCGATCGCTTGGAGGTTGTTAACGATTGTATGCGGTACGGTATTGGTACCTGAAGGACCAAATGACCTGTAAAAGTAGGGGACCTATGCCCATATACTATGAATCCCTGTAACGGTATATGAACCTTAAACACTTTTAGGGTTCACGTCGTCCTTAAGGTAGATATTTTCTGTTGGCGGTGTGGTGCTCTTCGATACCACCCCCCCTTCAGCCACCAGCCAAGCCCCCTTTCGAGCCCAGAATGCAGAGGTCATGTTAAGGTTTAGGAAGCACTGCGAAACCCTGCGCCTACGTATGCTCAAGTTGATCACTGCTGGCTTCGTGGTTTCAGTCACAGCGATGTGAAGACATACCAAGACAGACAACTTTCCAAAACCCACTCCCTAAACCTGAAACCATGGTCTCTTTCCTCGAATTTAGAGTTTAGGGTACGGCAAAATCTCCCTGACTGTGGCTTGTAGATTACATCGCCATGTCCTTGATCGCACCAAAGATGTGCTCAATTGCCTCTGCGACTTCGCAAGGACCCAAGTATGCCTCAATGGCACCTACCATGCGCCCTGAACCAACACCCCTCCCAAAATAGTTAGGCTTAAGAACCCTCCCTCCTGCCCGGCATGCAACGCCCTGAACTACTTAAAGGATCATGGGACTTACTAACTAAGGTTGCTAATTGGGTAACTGCACTCGTACTCAAGCCTTGGCTTGAAGCCCACAGGGGCAAAACCTTGTGATCTGAATTCTCGTAGTCCCTCAAGGGTACCATGAGGGTTCCATACGGTTGATGATATAAACCTTGCATTACCTTAAGGGCCCTAAACTATGGGAATTACGGTATATTCCTTAACATGGATAGTACAAAATTTATATCATCAACCGTATTCTGTAGGGGTTTGGGGCTTCAGGGCTCATGTGCCGAAATCGTATGTGCCTTGACCCTAACGTACCTATATGGGGACGACTTCAAGCCGAAAGTGTATACTATTTGGCTACACGGACCTCCGGTATGGCCAGACATCAACCCCGAGGCCTCATCAGCCGGCTTCAGCCTGAAATTCCAACCCCCCAAAGGCTACACCCTTACCCTACGGATCCAAAGGACCCAGTAATAAGGTAATCTGGTTACGGATGCCCGTAGTAGATATGTAGGTTACTCTTTGGGAGAGTGCATGACTATTCGGTACTTCGGCTGATGATATAAATCCTGCATTACCTTAAGGACCCTAAACTATGGGAATTATGGTATATTCCCTATTGTGGCTAGTGCAGGATTTATATCATCAACCATTGGACCTTTAGAGGAATTGTTGCCGCCAAACCCGCTCCGTGTTTGTCGACTCGATCCTTCCCTAGGGGTACTTAGAAACAATTTTTAGTTTTTGGTTATTATGATCCCTAAGAAACAGCTAAAATTTTAATTTTTGCTTGGGTTCTAAGTTCAGTATAGAAGCTTCCTGTAAGGTCTATTTAGACCGTTCTAAGCCCTGCTACCTCCCGGAATGTGCACAGCGTGCGGCAGCGCATGAGAGGACGAAATGCTAGTATTAGGAATTAGGATTTTTTGTTACTGTTATTGTTGCAGCTACTGTGAGTGTTATCATTATTGAGGCTGCTTAAGAAGGACAAGGAGTACGTACCAAGGTTTATCAGACCCAAAGCTAGAGCCACCCATGTTTTAATCCGCAGCCCAAGCATTGAAGCTTGGCACACACCGATCTCAGGTCGGTTTGTGCAGTCGACTGCGATGGCAAAATGAGAGGGCGCAGTATAGGGGCCTAAATAGTTACCTATACTATTTTGGGGGTTCCTTATCATAACTATAGTATAAGGGGCCCTCAAAACCCTATTCTAACCATTAAAAGCCCCTGTAGTAGGGGTTTAGGTTTAGTTAAGGGCTCTCAAACGTGCCGCAATTTAAGCATGCCTTGTTCGACTTGCCTCCATGAAGATGTCCCGGCGCCTCGCCCTTTTCATAAGATATCGGAGCCTGTTTGATAGGTGGTGTGTATGTGTGTGTGTGTGTGTGTGTCTGTGTTGCATATCTCTTTGGGACAGCCGGCTCTGCAGCTGCAGGAGCAGATCGGACTGTAGCTATACTTCTGGTAGCAATCCATGTTCAGGGGTTTACCGGGACCCTCGTAGATTCTTCACGAAGAGGTATAGTACGGGCTACACTAAAGGGTAGTTGGGGGGTCTGGGTAGGGCTTGGGGTTTAGAGCCCTTGTGCGGGCAAGCATGTGCATGTGGCTGTCTGCGGAGCACTGCCTAAACTCCGAGTAAACTCCATGCGCCGCAGCCATGCTCCGTTTTCCTCCTCAGACCAGCACTAAAGCCTATTCTGCAGCGCTGTCTCCGACACCAAAGACTTTTTAGTTCTATGAAATTATGACAATGAGAACAAAGATATAACTACTGTAATATACGTGATGGTAAATAGCAGCAATAACCATCATCATGATTCTAACACATGCCCAAGTGGCCCGAAGCCTAATGCACCCTCAACCCACGCAGGGATCCCTTCAAGGGGGAGGACATCCACGTGCACTTCCCTGCAGGGGGCATCCCAAAGGACCTTTTGCTGACATGTGTAGACGCACAGGCATTAGGCCTTCGGGTTTAGGGGTTTAGGGTTTATAGGGTTTAGGGCTTAGGGTTTAGGATCGAGGTTCGGTGTGTTGGCTTGACGGTGCCAGGGTTCAGGGTGCGGCGCTCTCGGATGTAAGTATAAGGGTTCGGGACGATTCTAGACGTTTTGGAGCTTCATACTTTCGAGATCTTTCGAGTGCTTTTGACATACAGCACTTGACTTGAGGCTGTTTAGGCTGGGAAACGTTTTGTAGAGGTTTAAGCTTCAGAGCCAACGAATAGAAACGAGAAGAGATCACAAAGCTCGATGAAGTATTATTCCGCTACCCAGCTGTGTTTTACGTACATGGTTGATCCCATATAAGGTTCTCTTAGCTTGCAACCTAAGGGTCCTTCATGGGCCATCACTTAGTTGCAGACATTGCTGGCCTTATTGAACTCGTGTGTTTCCTCCTTTGCTTTGGGGTTTTGGGGTTTTGAGCTTCTGGCCGAATGAGTTGTCGGAAGATATAATATAGAATAAAGACTAAAGAATAAACAATATATAACAATATATATAATATACAAAATATCGTTTTGTTGTGTTCTGGGTGCGGGTCTCGAGTTCATCAAGCTGCAGGCTGGGGGGAACCCCAACATCCGAAGCTCCTATTTTTTCTAGCATGTCCTACAGTAAACCACATAAAGTTGGAAACCGGATTATATAATTAAGGCCAACTAGTGCTGGGATTCCCTTCAAATTGCTGTTCAGGATCGAGGCTATTGGGTTTCCAACTTTTGGGCTTCTAGTGTAGAAGCTCTAAACCCTAAACCCTAAACCCCTAAACCCCTAAACCCTAAACCCCTAAACCCCTAAACCCCTAAACCCCTAAACCCTAAACCCTAAACCCTAAACCTATTTCTACTGTAGCCCGAAGCTTCAGAACTTCGCATCCTGTTAGATTCAGCCCTGAGCCCTACATGCTCCCTGCCAACAACCCCCAAGATCCTCAGCCATGAACCCCTAAAGCCCTAAAGCCTTCAGGCCCCAAACCCAAAACCCCCAAAAACCGACGGTTTAGGGTTTAAGGGTTTAGGGTTTAGATCCCTGAACCCGAAGCCGTCTCTGAATCGTAGG